TGCTTCTAATCTTTCTCTCACCTTCTGTACATATGATGGCGCCAATGCACCCATGAACCCTATCAACGCCTTAATTCCATACAAAACCCCTTTGGATTGTTTGAGAACTGAAAAGCCTGCCCTAAAATGGTATTAAATGTTACCGCTTCACTAACAGTTTTCCAGCTACATGACCCCAAACGAGCCGGTAAACGATCATCATCAACTCCATGAACCATTGAGTTTTTAGAAGAACGAAAAAAACTGTTTGCTCAGAGCCCACCTTGCGCTTGGAGTGAAGCTCCACTGAATGGATTTGTGGCTTGACTGGTGGCCATTCCAGGGTGAGAATTCGCTGCTTCCGTATTCGTCACAGATGCATGTTCAGAACTGAATTCAGGCTGCCACATCGATCCGGCTTGTGGTGCTGATTGTCCCATATTGAGGAAAGGATTAGCATCAGCCATGCCATCTCAAACCAGAACGCATCAATAATCATCAGGTGATACAAAACGACTGCGAACGCCAAAAAATGACAACTCGAGTTAGTTCTGCTTTTTAAGAAAATACAAATGCAAAGTAATATAGGCACGAAAATCGCCAACGATTCACGGATGCGAGACCTTGGCCGGAGAGCACAACGGCCAACACGTAGCTTAAATGCTCACTAGTATTGCGACTTACGCATAAAGTATGAATCACCAGTTCGTGAGAACTTCAATTAATGGATTACTTCTAAGAAAAACGACGTTACGAACAAGAAAGATACATGACGACACAACACCAATAACAGAACGTATTGCTCAGGCAGGCATTTAGAAGTAAAATTTGAAACCGGAGCTCTCCCGTCACCCTCGGAGCTTGAAACTCCTGAGAAGCTTAAAAAGTAACAGGTGACCATTGCACAATACCTCCACCAGTATCGTTGGTGTTTCTACTGGAGAATGCCCGCACGAAATCTGCTTGGAAACCGTTCGAGTGTCCGTTGGATTCGGAAAGTACACCAGACGACGCAATCGATTGAGGCACAACTATAAAATTACAACCACTAGTAATTCGACTCCACACAGCAACATGCAAATTGCAATCAAGGATAATAACCTCCCCATCACTGTGCCACACCACACAAAAATCTGAGCACTAAAGCACCTTCATGCAAAAATAACAGAAAAAAAACGACGATATCCGAAGAAATCACATACTTTACTCTGAACAAGGAGTGAAGAAAAGATATGCCCGCTCCTCGTTCGGAATAAGGTGTGTGAAGAACCGCAACAATAAGAATTTTATTACATATTTGCTAGTTCTCAAGTTCCGAACACAAAAATTTGGTGTTCACATCTTGCAAATTTTAAATAGATGATTAAGGGCCGCTCGCCAAATATTGATGTTTTCAAGTGCTTGAAAAGAGCGCTCTTATCGCGGTATTTACTTCATTACCATATACTTTCTTACATCTACTGTGACATTTGGAATATCTCGTCTTCAAACTTCCACAATAGATGAAATTGCTTATTAGAATCAAAAACCCATTGAATCAGAAGCTTTGACCGCGACGCAGTCACAAGTAGAAGCATTACTGAAGAAACTTTCAAGCTCAACGAAAACGACATCCCAAGTTCTTTAACTACCAGTGACAAACTGACATGAATGATAATATAATACGAATAGTAATGAAAAAATCGTCAACTCAGAAGCATCAAAAAAGTTACCTCCTCCAACTGAAGGATAAACAGAAGCTTGTGGATTTGTTGCATTAGGAGAAGTGAACTGCGCAAACGGATTCGTAGCATCCATATGGGGTTGTTGAGGCTAAAAATTGCGTGCGTTGAAATAATCAATTGGAACTCCATCCCAATCGATTTTGACGTTGCAATTGTTCTTAAACTCGTAGGCCATTCTATCCATACTGTTGGTTGGTCAACCATACATATTGCTTGACCGATTAGTGCATTGGTGGCTGGTACAGTAATTGTAATCTTCACCTGAGCAGGAGCATTAAATAAGTCAAGCAAATCATCATTCGTTTTTGTAGAAGCTTGAGCAGACATTGCCTCTGCAGCAAATGGATTGAAACTTGAGCCCATCGACGAGGAGCCTTGAAATATTGTTTAAGTGCTCTGCATTAAGCTGCATAAATGGGAGTAGTTACGGCTTGCCAGAAGAGAGAACAGCAAAAAAACTCACCGGCGGCACCCTGCTGACGTTTCTGCTCTTCAAACTGTCGCAGTCTTTCCTTTTCCAGCTCTATATACCTCGTTCGCTCAGCATCACCGACGTGCGCTTGCGTTTGAAACCCACCAGCCATAGAAAAATTGGCAACTTGAGACTGAGCGGACGGGTACTGCAAATATAGAAATGGAGAAATGAGGGTATGCTTTACGTAGAGAACAGAATGTATAGAAAGCAAATCAATAAGTATGAATGAGGCTCCACAAGATAGAGTCAACTTACATGCCCCGAGAGGCCTGTTGGTGGAGCTCGACCACCTTCCAGATGGTTTAAATGAGCTTCTAAAGCCTCCAGCAAACTCGCCGGAGCTCTAGTCAAGTCTGGAATCTCGCCTCGATCAATACCAACAGACTCAGCAACACGCAAAAATTCCGACACCTTATCCAAGCGAGTCTACAAACATATTTTTGAGCATTTTTAAGCTGCTTAGATATGCCTACAATCTGACACTTTGTTTAGCAACATTCATCAACAACAACTAACCAAAAATCCTTTGTATGTGTCGAGAGCATCACGACACTGCTTCTTGTTCATGTCGAAATATTTCTCCAACAAATTAATGATTCCATCGTTGTAACATGCAAAAAGACGAATGAGATCGCGGAAAAGAAGTATGAACGAGCAATTGATGACGCCATTGTTCAGTTCGCTAGCTGAGACCTGAAACACCACACCTGCAACTGCTTCAAGTAGCAGTTTAGAAAAATGAGTTCAGTCCCAGTATCTCGAGGATTTTGCAAAAAAAAACTCACTTGGAATTCCAGAAGCGCATCAATTTGATTTTGAAGGATAGGTAAAGTCTTGAGTAGCTGAAACGAAAAACAGATTTAGAATGTGTAGCCTTCCTAAAACGACAAATGAAAACAAAACAACATGCATTCAAAGTATCCTGTAGTAGCGGTTCATTTATCATTGAGAGGAAGAATCGAGAAGTGCTGATATCATATTTACGGTGTGTCAAACAACAACTTTCCAGGTTAATCAGGTCTTTCACTCTAGTGCATCTAATGCAGACCACTTGGTGGCACACTTATCTGGGAATAAAACCAAAACTAAACGTCGGCTTGCTCCGCACGTAACTTTTAGCCAATTGGTTTCACGCTGTATTTTACGCTCTTATTGAAATAAGGGCGATGAGAAAACTCGAGCACTTGCCACACTGGAAGCCTTTAGCTGCCAAAAGCCGCATTCAACGTTCAGAAGGTTATCGGAGAGATTAAAAGAAGAATGAGAGTGGATGAAAAGGGGAAAACACTTTCGCTTGAAAGGAGGGAGTCAGCTCATCTTTCGCTAAGTACCTCATGCAAAGATTCCATCGAAGGCAATTTCATTTCGCTTCTGAAGTTTAAGACGAAGCAATGGTCCACGTTTATTTTCAAACGGGGAAACCCTTAGAGATAGACTGAGAAATCTAGTCTCTTTCACCGAACATGGTATTTTCTTAACAGCGCATCAGTTCGTGCACATTCTTATCTGCGGTCTGCCAAGGTCATTAAGACAACGCAAGAAACTTTTTGAGCATTGGAAAGCGGATTTGGGCATAAGAGCTGAAGCCCAACATTTCCCTACATTAAAAACATTTCAACTGCAAAATGAAACAGACTAGTGAAGAGGGGTGGCACTAGTGAACAAAAGGAACATATCCTTCCGAATTGCATTAATATGAAAGCATAGTGTGTTCAAATTAAATTGAATTCTGATCTGAGAATATCACCTTAACACCTCTCTTTAAGAGTTCTACAATGCGAAAAGGTATTGGAATGCTCCTCAGTTTCAAACGGCACTCAATGAGGTAGAACATGTTTCATGCTAAGAGGAATAAGAGGAAAGAATATTACCTTGTCAGTGTGCATAGTGCGCAGAAGGCCATCTTCTCTTCCACGCTTAACTTTGCAAAAATCAAATGCGCAGACTCGATACGTCGCTATTTTCTCTCCGATATACTTTCCATATCGTCGCACATGCTGAGACATATCGTATCCTGGAACTAAAAATACTTGCACCCCATGAGATCCAACATATTCCATTGGGATTGCTCTCAACTAAAAACAGGTCTTCATTAGTGCACTCTCGTAGCAAATCTGCTGTCATGAGTTTCATGAATGGATTGGAATGCTAACTTTCTACACATAGCAAACTTTCGTTTTTTAACTAAAAACCCCATTTCAACCTTACAGCTGAGCAATTTCACGCACTATTAGGAGGAGTGACATCAGATATGTAATTCAGTGGACTTCACGAAGAAAAAAAAATGAATGACGGAAAAGTGCTCCTTAAATCAGAACAAAAAGTGAGTACTACCCTCGCGTCAATATCCTACATTGACGTTTTCCGCAAACAACAAACATTATTTGTAAACAAGCTAAGGTGAAACTACCTAGAGCAAACAACAAAATCGTTTAAAGGAGCAACTAACTGCAGGTACCAGCCAAAAGTTGGATATACTACGGTGAGATTTGAAATTTGCTGAACTAAATAACTAGTACTACGGAATTTGCACAGCCCGAAAGGACGCAGACTCCCTCATACAATTTTCCTATACAATCCTAAGTTAAGAAAGACCGAAATTACAAAAAAGGCGGGTAGTACCTGAAGTGCTGTTCTTGTCAAGGAAATTTCCCAAGTTGAATGTGGTGTTGCAAGATGCCAAATACTGCGAGAATCTCTGAAATAAATGAGAATGGAATGATGGATGCAAAACTGAACGGCAATATTGGTTCCACTTCTCCTCACCTCATTACCGTAGCACATGATATTGTGAATTGTGATGAGAGCTTTGTACACTACAGTCCAATTCGGATGTTGTGTTCTCTCTATTAATAAATTTGCCATTGATGGAATTGACACATTCGGCTCATTCGTGCAATGTAACAAATCTAGAACAAAACTTTAATTCGGAAGAAATAATGCCATGTTATGTTCCAAATTAATTTTTTGGACCCTGAGACTGTTGTTTTACCATATTTATGTCTGTGAACAAAAACTGAAAGATTCAGCGAGAAAAAAAAAGAGAAAATTCGTGAAAAATGCAAATTGCAAATACAAATTATGGGAAAGTCAGTATATTTTTATTACGGTAATAAAATTGCCGTAATCTCAATGTAATGATAATGAAACTCGCGAAAATATGAAATTAAGTCGAACTACTCACAATCAAGATGTTTCTTTTTGGGTGCCATTAACTCCTCAGTCGTTGCCTTGCATATGGTCTTTCCCAACTGACTACCAGCTAGAGAGTGCTTGGCAGCAGTTAACCTGAAAAAGATAATTTAGTTTTACCCTTGATAGTTCCATTAAAACCAAAACCATAGCATACCGGTCAGAGATGGTTTGGCCACCGGTTCAACGTTTTAGGTACTGGAAGAAGAAGCCAATGAAGAAGAAATTCAAGAACGCGTTCCGCGAAACGAAAACTATTCTGACATTTCGAAGAAGAAACGCACACGAGAGGTATTTCTAAGGCGAGGGCTCGCCTAGAAATGGAGCGATTCATCAAAGAGAAACGAGAAGGAGACTGAAGAAAACACATCAATGGGAGGTGGTGGGTGCGATGGATTTATCGACGAAGGCGGATGCTGGCCCGAGTCCGGCACGCAAGCGCGAGAATCGATGCCCAAGAGACGACATGCACCCCTGTCCTTCCAAACTTTTTTGGCAAACATAGACAAATCCAGATTTGGAGGAGTTGTACAAGAGTTTGTTTGATGCCTTCAACATCACCGACTAGGAGGACGCCGCCAAATGTCACTTTCACCAATCAATAACTAGGCAAAAACAGCAGTTCGGCGAATCTTAGCACGCAATTCGTTGAACTTTAGTACGTAAAAGGTAAGACAAATCACGGGTCCATTTTCGTATAATCTCGCAGGAATACCATACGAAATGGCTTCGAATTCGGCAGATATTGGTAATAAAAACCGCAATCATGTGTGATACCTTCTGAATGAGCGACAACGCTATGGAACCGAACGTACCCGTCCTCTGTCTCGTTTACCACAATTTATCAGTGAGCTGGTGTCTTTATTGAATGATCAAGAGACTCTATTTGTTTCGCGTATTAATCCACTTATTTCGGAAAGAAACCATTGGTTTGTAAAAGCTAGTCTTTCAAAAACACCGCGTAATTTTCGTACATACTAGATTATATCAAGGTAAAATGAAAGAGATAAACACATAGCACAACGGAACAACAAACAATAACAACAATTACCTGTCTCTTTAGAATCTGGAGATACTTTTGGAATGCGAAGCACGCGCACCACAAAACGTTCCGACACAACATTTTAGCCTGGGCGCGCAATTTGTTTGTGGAGCGCAACGTCAACGACCGCAGCTGGGTGTAAATTATGCGGCGAGTTTCTTATTTCTGCTTCCGACGCTGGACCGCGATCGCTCATCGCTCGCGACTTAGGAGATTCGGCGACCAGGCTTTTCCACTGAAAGGATTGGGTGCACATCGACCACCGATTCTCCCCGTCCGCGCGCGATCTCGCCGATTCGGCGATTAGGCGCTCCGACTACTCGGCGATTGTTGTTACTGATATGCACAAACTCCTTCAGCAGAATCGTCGAATCCATAGTCGTCGAATCCTTTGAATCTTCAAGTCGCCAGCTACTATAAATGGGGTCGAACGCAGATGATGGAATGACCATCTGCAGATCCTTTATTTTCTTCTGAGTTTCGTTGAAATCAGAACCCACTTTCATCCATATCATTTCACCACTTATGAAGCGTTCAGAGTTGGCGATCGTACGTGCGATTAGGCGATTAGGCGAGTAAGCGATAAGGCGGAGAAGACTACACACGTACTGATTGGTTTGCTCCGCCCATAGAACGTTGTAGACGAGTAGGCGAGTAGGCGATCAGCCAATAGCGACTCGCTCAATAGTGGAACAAACCAATCATACGTATCCTTCCCTGTAATCAGCCTAACTCGCCTACTCGTCCAATCGAACTGACTATTTGCACGCGTCCTAACCGCCTATTGGCCGATGTCAGAGTCTGCGATTGGAGCGATCGGTCAAATGCCAATCGCGCGACCATCGCGCGATTCGCGCGACGATCGCGCGATTGACATGAGTCCCATCATGACCAATCGCTCCAATCGCGCGATGGGCGCGATCACTCCCGTTGTGGCTGGGCGCCCCGATCGATACGTTGACCTGAGGCATCGATCGAGTGGCGGACGCATAGTCGGTCGGACGACAGCAACGACCGCAGGTGTCGCATAAACCGCGGTCGCAAATGGAAGGCGACGCGGTCACCCAATGCAAACCCAGACAACACGTGACTGCGCGTGATCGTATTTCGAAAGTCCCACTGTAGTGTGGAATAGTAGCTGCGTATTGATCTGCGACACTTGCAGTCGTTGCTGTCGTCCGACAGCAGCAGTCGGACGACAGCAACGACTGCAAGTGTCGCAGATCGATACGCACCCAATACTGTGCGACACTTGCAGTCGTTGCTGTCGTCCGACCGACTATGCGTCCGGCCAGTGGGCGCGCCCTGCCACAACGGGAGTGATCGCGCCCATCGCGCGCCTTGGGGCGATTGGTAAGACCGACGTCATAGTCGGCGACGGACCAAGCGATGGAGCGATCGCGATCGCTCCATCGCTTGTCCGTCGCTTGCCAATCGCTCTTGGTCGAGCGATTGGCAAGCGATTGCGCAATCGCTTGCAAAGTGCACAAGCGACGGGCAATGGCTCTGCTCGATCGATACCGCAGCCGACTGCATTGACTGGGGGCGGGGCCAATCGCCCGTCGCTTGTGCACTTTGCAAGCGATTTGCGCAATCGCGTGCCCATCGCTCTTGGTCCCGTTCTCCGCCGAAGTTATACGAGGTCTAATGATGGGACTCATGTCAATCGCGCGATCGTCGCGCGAATCGCGCGATGGTCGCGCGATTGGCATTTGACCGATCGCTCCAATCGCAGACTCTGACATCGGCCAATCGACTAATCGCACACGACGAATTGCCCACTATGAACGCTCCATTAGGAATGTTTTGGGTCATTCGGAGAGTTCCACCGATTCTGATCGTGAGCTTCAAATGAGCACATCTCGTTTTCAACGGAAAACCTTCAATTTAATAAAAACTTACAGGCGGTGGGGCGGTCGAAGAAGCATTTCGCCAAAGAGTTCTGAGCATTAATATTGGGGCGTTGTCTCTCAGAAGTTTCGCTTATGCGCGATTTTTGAGCGCCGAAAGTTCATTCTCTCGTTTGAATAAAGCATTTCTTATTGCAATAAAAACTGTTACGATTTCCATACCTTTGCCAACAAAAAGAGAATCTGATTGACCCGGATGTTGAAAGTGTGGAGTTCTTTAGGCGAAGCTCTCCGTGAAGGTCATTTCACCATCTAGTTAGGTTTTGAGGCTCAATCTCATCAAAAAGAGCTCCGCGATGGCTTGGAAAATTGCATTCTGTAAGCCAACAAGGTGTACTGCGTGAAATGTTTGCAGCACAACTTCGTGGCTCAGCTAGTTCAACTTTGCAGAGATGAGGTATGAGGCTGCGCGGTAGTGGGTAGAGAGCAAGATAACTGACGTTCGCACTTCTCAAAAATCTCCTTTGGACTCGACGGGACACCACCACCTTCAGTCTTGGAAAGGCTCTCCCAATACGATCCCCCTTCCCCCTTCTGCGACCACCAAAATTACCATAATGACTGTTTCACGTATATCATTTCTGGGGCCAGTCGACACTGCACAACTCCGCCCACTTTTCCCTCCAAAACGACGACTGTCGAGGAGGGGTATATTGATATCATGAAGCGGCGAATCCAGCAATTTGGCCTAAATCTCATTACTTTTCGATAACCTTGATCAGCAGACAAATGCGGCCGCTCTTAAAACCACTAACGTGACCCCTCGTTTCGAGTAGTTGCACGGACGGTTGTTAACACCTGGAGCCGAGAGCCGGCGGCACCTACTTGTCTGACCTTCTCTCGACATTTTCACCTTCAACCTGTGGAACTTTGGACTCCATCGTTAGGCTTTATTCAGGTAGCGGTCCTTCCAGTAAGTACCGGATGCACAAACCATGGTCAACCATGGTCAAACCCTAGTTACTTTTTTGTGAGTTTCCGATAACGAGCATCACCCTTGATCTCCTTCGAGGCTTTCCGCCAGCGCGAGGAAGACATTTCAAACATTAGGTCATTTTGAATAACAGCTACACAGCAGCACTTATTCGAAAATAGGACCAATATTTTCAAGTGGATTTGTGACTTCATGTTAGAAGGTAGCGCAATTTGCTTCCGCACCTCTTCCGGCCAAATTTGAGTGGGAACAAGAATCTCGTACAAAATGGCCTGTTGACTGTTGTGTTCAAGTCATCGAAAAAAAAGGGGGGGGGGGAATTCTCCAGCGTAAAAAGACACATGTGGATGAAACGAAAAAAACGCGCTTCCTAGTGATATATGAAATGTTAGGAGCTTCTTGAAACCAGTTAAGAAATAAAAACATTGAAATTGAGCAACAGAAAGCGGCGGAATTTTTCCGAACAACCCAATATGTATGTAGCAAGGACCAGGCAAAATCAGAAAGACAACGAAGACACACTTCCTTGTTGGGAATCCTTTCCGTTGTTGCTGCAAATCTATAGTAGTACTTCGTGGTATGGCAGTTGGCGCGATAAACGTAAATTCTGCAGAAATATTGAATTACATTCGGATCCCGACGGCAAAACAAAAACACAGCGGGAACAATTCCTACCGGGCCCAGCTCTACTGTCAATAATTGCAGACCGCTTCAGATTACCCTGTGAGCACTGCTCATGTAATGGAGCGTTTAGAGTTGGCGATCGTACGTGCGATTGGGCGGTCAGGCGATTAGGCGATTAGGTGATGATTCAAAAAAAAGTATACGCATCGATTAGGCGATTAGGCGAGTAGGCGATTAGGCGATTAGGCGAGTAGGCGAGTAGGCGAGTAGGCGATAAGAAGAGGATGTGTCGATTTGTTTGCTCCACCTGTTGGGCGATCGCCTAATTACTACTCGCCTACTCGCCTACAATGCTCTCTGGGCGGAGCGATTTAGTCAATACGTATGTGGTCTTCATCGCCCAATCGCCTATCGCCTAACGTGTACTTCGCATATTTTGCACAACAGACTAATCGCCTGATCGCTCAATCGCTAGATCGCCAACTCTGAACGCTCCATAGTCGGTATCAATGACCGAAACATGCTGTAGTACTTGTTGGTTTTGAGACATACTACCGAAACCACTGCATCAATATGAAATCGTCTGCATAAACTCCAGTGGGAGCAAGCCTCAGCAAGAACGCAAGCAACCGGCTGGCAGGATCCCAACCGAAAAAAAACTACAAGCCAGAAGAGTTGTAAGTTAACAATTAAGGTTCGATTGGCGAAAGGGCAATCGCTTTCACACTCCCACTGAAAGAGTATTCCGAATGGCTGTGAGTGCACGGACTTTAACGATCGCACGAATTATTCATGCTCCTGCAAACAGCCGGGTGGACCTCTTTGGATGGCTTTTCTAGAGATTCCTTAGTAAGGCGACAGCGTTGGAACTTCGACTAACAATAGGTGAGCATTAATATTAAATGGCTGCAAGCTCAAAGGGAGTGATCACTACGATTTGACCCGGATGTCACTCAAAACTAATGTGGAGGCTGCCCTGTGAAGGAGAATTGAAGAGAACATAGAAATCATAGAAAGGGGCCCCCATTCTGCGCTTTCAGGCAAAAATCCCAGATGAGTTCGTGCCGTGGAATCTGTTTCGTACATACCCTCCCTTTCAAAAAACGAGAATAGCGTCAGGTGCAGACCATACACCACAAGTGACGACGACCGTCACTAAATGTAAATGTTTTTTGTCCAATGAAATGATTAGCCTGTTGCTTCTATTC